GAATGAAGGCCCTTAGTTCGAAGCTGGCCTCGGTTGGAGCGTCACGGCTCCCTGGTTGGGGTGCAAAAGAGAATGAACACGTTTGGCTGGATACACTTGCTGACATGGCAAGGAGCCAACCTCAGTGGCGTTCCTGCTGTGACTTTCTTTGTCCCTCCCCATCGCTTTTAGCCTTCCCACCACCTATGCTCTCTTTCTTATCGTAAAACATAATAATTTTTCTTTTTGCCTAGCAGCCGGCTGGTAGCTTACCGGAACGATGCCTATCCGTTGCTGGTAGCCCAGCTGGCGTGCAACTTTTGTATTTATTTTCCTTTTTCACTCATGTATTGCGGCACAGCAGCTGAGGTGTTTCCCACCTCTAGCTGATGTGTATAATGATGATGATGATGATGTTCGTGGCATTTCCTTGAACTATATGTTCTGACGTCTTGAATATATCATGGATTTGTTCGCAACCAACTTACTATATATGCTCTTCTATTGAAGAGTTATGTCACCGTATCTGTATGTAGTATTCATTTTATTTTATTTGTTATCGTCGTATCAAGTGATTGGCTGTTACTTGACGTCCCCGGTGTGACTGCACATGACGTGTATGTTGACAAAATGCCTACCTGTCCATTACCCACTACCTCGTCTATACTGGCTCCACGAAACAGTCGGTCGTTGCTAGAGGGGACGGAATGCAGGTCTTTGTGGTCGTGTTAGGATCAAAGAGTGGTTCCATGCACTCAGTGTGGAGCGGACTACGGTCCATCCACCGCCTTATGTGTGCTTGATTCCCTTAATACAGGGTGCTTGTGTTTGCCTGTGAAGGAGTGTGGGCCGGTTCGGTTGATAAAACGTGCTCCCATCCACATGCCTCTGGTCTTATTCCTTCGGGTTTACACTGGATATCGGGTGTGTGGTTGGAGCTGTGGGTGGTGTAGCGCAAGCCACCCATGGTCCCGCTGTAGGCGCAGGCGTCCTGTGGCTGGCCATAGTGACAAGCAAATTCGAAACCGGGTGCCACCAACCATATATATCAACCAGCTGCCAGGCCGGAATTAGGCTGTTAAAAGTACTTTAGTTTACTGCCTGTAAGCCAAACCAACTTGTCTCAAGAGTAAGCGTGATGTTCATCAAAGTCATGATCTATCTTCATCTGACAATTAGGAGAGGGTTGGTGAATTTTCAGTCAGTTGAAAGGCAGGTACTATTTCAAGAAAATTATCAAATCAATGCAAAATAAACTTTATGAGTGTTATAAGTAAGGTAGTTGATAACTTCAAAGGCTGCATCACCAGGATATGCGGCGGACTTTAAGCGTCCTTTGAGATTGAGGCCCGTGGACGTGTGGTACACACGTCTGGCTTGCAACCACAAGATCACCCTTTCGAATCCACTTAGGGGCGGGCGTCCACGCGGTATACTCAGCCTAAGCAGGACTGATAGTGGTTGCGTGGCAGCGAAGCGCCGTTAAGGTGTAGAGTTGACAATTTCTATTTCATTTTCGTAATATTGATAACTCCTAAAACTAGAGGTGACCAGTAAAGCCGACGAAACATCTGCAGCAGAAATATCCATCTCGTAGTACAATCAAACGCCGTCATCCATATCCCGAGCTACAAATGTGCTCCATAATTGACAATTTGATGTCAGCTGGGGAGCATAAATTCCTTCCGTCCACATAAATTATATAACCAGAGAACAAAACTGGATCATGTAATGACGAATATACATATTTTCTTTGTACTGTCCACCTTAATGAGGTTTATCATGCAGACATTCCAAATTGGACTTGATCCTTTCTGTAATGAGTACATGTATGCAAAACAAAAATGCGTCCATGTGCACTACGTTATTCAAGGCATATGTGCCTGCTAAACAAAAAACTAAACCAAGAAGTGTAGCGAAATAAAATTTAAAGAAATATGAAGTTGCATAAAATTGGATTGTTCCGTATCATGCCCAGTTATTGTTTTTTCATCTACTGTGCTGTACCATACCCAGCATTCGGGAATAGTATCTCGATAAGCATCTTGTACACATACTACATGAACGAAAGTTGGCAACACAACTAAAGTTAGTATCCATTCTAGTACATATAGTCGAATAACTTTTAATGTGTAAATGGGTGGTATGCTATTGATCTTCCTCTGACTCTAGCAAAGAGGGGCAAGATAGTATGTATGTGAGAGGGCTGCGGCAAATAAATAAATAAATAAAAGGTTTATTCTCGAATAAGCGAGGTACGCTCGCCAATAAATGATCACGTTAAGAGTACAAAATGTGGTCAGTTAATGTCAATGTCAACCTCATATATGTAGATATATTAATGTAGGTATGTGTGCATGTAGGTGTTTGTGGCTGTGTTTATAGTATTTGTAGATATGATTTAGCACTTTTGCTTGTGTTTGAACGTGTCGCCAATGTTAAATAGATGCTTGATGTCTGTGGACTTGAAGTAGTTGTCTGGGTAAGCAATGAGGCGACTTTATTTGGTGGCCAGTCACAATCGCCACGTCGCAGTGCTGTTAAACAGACATTTGTGGCTTTTTATAGAAATTATGCTTGTCATGCAAAAACCCACCATGTCCTGGAAGACTGCCGCCGAATTATTTGCTTTTACGGGGTGAACCCAAACCATCCAACTGGCACCACGAGGAGTTTGTTAGGCTAGCCAGGTGATTGAGCTGGTACGGTTATAAGGCCTTGCTATTAGTCAATTGTGAGTTCGACCTGTGTTATTAAAAGTTAACAGACTAAATTTGACATTGATATGCAAAACGTCTAAGCTAAATGTCTCCGACAATGCACCCCAGGTCTTCCGTTATGTAAAATAAAACCTGTATTTCAAACGAACCACCTTTTGAAAACGCAGCAAACCTAAATTCTAACGAGCTAGGTTAATTTGGCCAGTACAATTATCAAATCCCATCATGGATTGCCGCTCTTTCTGTAGTACCTGCGTCGACGCTGACCATGCCTTCATAAGATGTCGCTTTTTCATAAACTTTACCCAGAGGAAAACCGAGCGTCTCCCTCGAATGATAACTGGTCAGACAAGGCTACCAGGAAGTCTTGCATACCGAACGTTTGCTCTGTTTCTTAATGAGACTGGGTTTCCGTGGAATAGGATCATGGCCAACACGCACGACCCAGGAACCCCTGGCTGTGGTACTATTAATCGACCAGTCACAGGATACCTGAGAGGTTGGCGAACTAGTTGGAGTTCAGAAGAATACTCCCGGCTGGCTCTGAGCACAAGGTGACCAGACGGACTATCACGTGCGAACTAAAGTGGAGGCTTGCGCTGAAAAGGTGGCCTGTTGAACCAAACACGCCCAAGAAATGGTGATGAGAGCAGTAGGTAATTATCGCAAACTCCTTCCAGCTGATCCACACCATTGGTTTCAGGAAACCAAGCATCACTGCAACAACCAGAAAGAGCGCAGGTGCCGTGATTCACAATAAGGAGCGCCGTATGGCTTGTTGGACAGAGCACTTTCAAGAACAGTTCTGGACCTCTTCCTACTCAGTTGATGCAGGATGAGCCACAGCCAGTTAGTTCAGTGGCTCCCTCGGACAAACGAAACGTGATTACAGCACTTAATCATTTTCGCGCTCCTTCCCGGATCCGTAGTACTCGTATTATTTAAAGACGGCGGTGGGGTACGCTGAAAAGCCCTGACCTACCTGTTTGAACATATCTAGAAAAATAGCATGTCTCGGCTAACCGGAGTAACCCGATTATAGTGGCCATACACAAGAAGAGAAGTTGCACCGACTGTGCTAGCCACAGGAGCATTAGCCTAACGTCGGTTGTAAAACTTTACTAGCCGTACTTCTTGTTTGACGCTTTACGGAGGAACGGGACTTTTAGGGTAGGGAAGAGCAGGCAGGTTTTCATCCGGTAGGGGGCTGTATATACCATGTATTCACTCTGTGGTAGGTGCTAGAACAGTAATACTCATCCCGCAGACCGACAATAGCTCTGTTCCCTGATTTCTATAATGGGTTTGATTCAGTCGCTCAATGCGTTCTGTTCAAATTACTTGTGCAGAAACGGGTTCCCATGAAATATATGAACGTTTTGCGTGCACTGTACTCGAACACAACAGGCCGCGTCAGGGTCGTCAGTGACTTGTCGGCTGCCTTTCCGACAATAAGCATCGTTCGTCAGGGTTATTCGCTTTCCTAATTATTGTACAGTCTAGTCGTAGATTTCATTCTCTGGTGTACCGTTGCGGAATGTTACGATACAGAAGTTGATGTGCTGCCACGTAAAAGGCAAGTTGATCTTGACCATGAGGACGATATTTTCTTGATGAATAACTACTCCAGAGTCGTGCAATCATTTGGCATGCGCTTCGCATTTGTATAGTGCAAGGTGGTGTTTTAGGACTACCTGCCACTTAATAGGTCCTTGACCTGTGATAGCGCGGAACGCGAGGTAGTTGATCAATTCACTTACATTGGCAGCTGCATCCGCAACGATGGGTGCATAATCACTTAAGTCAGTTCACGTATTGAAAAAGCCAGAATCAAAGTAAATATTAGTTAACGTTAATTCTGCTATGGTTATGCAACAAAAGCCATCTATTTTGAATTTGGTTTGGTAACTAAAGCAAATAAGGCGCATGTAATGCAAAGTACATCCAGCCACGATGCTAGCTTAAGATGCGTAAAGTTGAAACCGACTGACATCAGCATGCCCAAATTCGTGGCAAAGCAAGTGCTCACGCAAAAATCACGTGCTTTAGCACGGTTCCGTTGTTGGTGTTGGCAATTTTGTTGTTTATATTTTAAGTGGAATTGTTTTTGTAACATATGCATAGGTTTAAAGGGCGCCGTAAATTTGGTGGATGTCTGTGTATCAACGTCTTTTGCTTGTTGGGCCTAATGAGCTTTTCTTGTTAACACAAACCACCAGTGCCCAAAAGAAGTTGGTGTCTCTCAGAGTTAAACTCTGATAAGTGCATATAATGGTGTACATCCTGCTTATAATCCCACAATTAGACTGAAGTTAACATGATAGGACAACTCACTTGTTCGGTACCAGCCATAAACTTTGTGGGAATTGTCGATTCATATTCCAATGCATAGGCCCCCTGCGCACAGGCAAAGTCTTGCTTTTTTGTTGGATCCAGAAACAGGACTTCAGTTGGTTCAGACAGTTTGCGTACATCCCACCACATAACTTGACCATCAGTTCCCGTAGAGAAGCATTCAGTTCCCGTTTTTGACTGTATCCATATAACCTTCCATGCAGGATCGCGGTGACTTTTTTCAATAGGAGAAACTTCTACTGGTTGAGAACCTTTTCTTCTGTCCCAAAATGCTATGAGGCATGCCGCTAAGAAAGCAGAGATGATACTTACCTAGCTGACCACTGTAACAACCACTGACCAAGGTATGTGAATCCTTCGGGTTGTATTCTATGCATACTAGTGGCGATGCTGGTTTCAACACAAGCTCAGGCCGATTTGGGTTTGTAATGTCCCATATATATGATTCAGAGGAAGTGTTTGGCGAAGAAGCTTGAAACTCTGTAGTACAGTAGGCGACGGCTAGTTTAGATGGACCATCAGGAAACCAAGAAATATGAGCAACACTCCTTTTGATATCACTCATGTCCCTACAAAACACAGAACTGAAAAATATGGCATGACGAACTTTAGTATATTTATTGTTTTTGCTGAGGGAGGTTCCTCGGAAGTTGCGTCGTCTGCGTCATCGTAGTAAGTTTCATATATGTTTAACGCGTTATTTTGCTTAATGCAATGTTCCATAACCTTTGGATATATTGTAACAGTCAAACTACACCTACTGCACCCAACCTTTGTACGGTAGCAGTGTACATCTCATCCTTTTCAATTTTCTTGCGGTAACGCAACACCTGATCTTGTTCCTGAGCGTTTATATCTTTTGGCCATCCACCTTCAACATGATTGATTCCACGGGTTTCAGAATGATATCTCTCTGTATTCACTTCGTGCTCAGACATTTCCTGGGAACACTGTATTCCTCTGCTTACTGGATTCAGTTCAATGTAATTTTTAGCCAATTCACGATCTGGAGGGATGTCTACAAGTAGCTCGGCGTTCCTTTCATTGAAAGTACACTGTTTGCCAAATTCAGCTCTTCGCTTTGTGTACACGTAAGTAACGTCCATCTCAAGGACCATGTGTCGCGATCAAATGTGAAAATATCAAATTACCGCGTTTATGTATCGCGTAGAGGTATGTATCTAAACAATCCTAAGGTATTCGTACACGCTACAAAATCAACAGGAAGTGCCTTAACGATCCTACCATCCCGGTAATTACAACCAGTCACAGTGCATTAGGTTTAGTATTCTTGCGCTCTCTCGCAGCGGGCAGTTGAAAATGCACAATGATTTACATCGGGGAAGGACTAATTTCTGTATTGGCGGGAAAGGGTTTCACTTCCATTGTCCTCGGTAACATGCAAGATAGTTTGAGTGGCTGCAGAGTATATTCTTAATTTTGGTGGTATTAAGGTGTGGGAAATAGAAGAAGATGCTATATGGATTTGCTTCGTGAAAACGGTTATGATAAATTAAAGTGATGGCTACAGGTATAGTTGAAGTTCACGGCATAATCGAAAGCAGGCAAATAATAAATACAAGTGAAATGTGAACGGCTGTTTTATGGAGCAAATAAGTGTTAATGCAATTGTTTCATGTATGTAAATGTTATGCTTGCAGTAACTTACGTGCTTGGATAAGGGGTATACATATCTCTTGTCTGATTATTGTATTTCTTGTATTTTTGAAATCGCGATGAATGAAAGCAAAATTTACAACTAATAAATCTTACCAACTACCATTTTTGTACATACTTAAGCACAAAGCGACCTATACACATCTCTTTCTAGTCCAGTTATGAAAGCATCACCATTTAGCCTGGTGTACCGGAACACAAAGTACCTCCAGGCCAATTTTTCATGTCAAAAATTAGCCACTCTCATTTACAGCGGGTACAAAAGCGATAGCTTGCCGAGTCCCGTAGGACGACCGGAGTGAGGATTAGAAAATTGCAAGGAAAAAACAACAAGTAGCAAGATATGATTTCGGATTTTACGTGACTTGCCAAGTTATGCACATTAACACTGATACATGTTACCTCAACGCTTGGCTAGGAACAGGACTGGTGAGGAAAAGGTCCTGTCACCTGTTGATTAGCTCGCCCGAGCTTCGTTACAAACTTGCGTACGTGTCGCCTCTACGCGGGTGGCATCGAGAGTGCGGATCGTACTAATTGATTCGTACTTCCTTGACTGCCCTGATGATGCCACCTCGTAAATTAGCGTAGTCTGTTGAGATACTAGTCGGTAATCAATGACACGTAAGAGCCGTGCCAAATACGGGACGGTGTAGAAGTTGGAGGTGAAAGTACCCAAGGTATATTGTGCAGGCCACAAAAATAGGAAGCGAATCAGTCAGAGCGAGAAACGCTGCAGCAAGTTACTCACTAAAACGCTTTGTGTCAACGATGTGCGGGTATTAAAACAAGTGGACGTTTTGAAGGTTAAAACAACCGTAAAGTCCAACGTTGCAACGTATTGAAAGAGCATGTTTTCCGGCACAATACAAGGGCCTCCCCCTTGAAGGCTGAAGGATGGAAGCCTTCGATGGAGCTGTTAGTGGGGAAATGGAAGGTGAGGATGGGTGTAAATATTTGCATGGACTTGAGCAACGGCTTCCAATGTGGGTTGTTTAGCAGTGTTTGCTGGGTCCAGGCTTTGGTTCGTTATTATTTATGATGATAATGTGGACCAGAGTGCGTCATCGGTGGGCCGTCGGGGCGGGCTGGTCCGACTTCAAAAAACTGGCTAGTCCGGAAAAAGGCCGACAGGACCTTCCCTTTGCTGCAGACCCTACGGTGCGCTTGGGGGTGTTACTCCCCCACCGCATACCAGTCCACGGTCCTCGTCCTACGAAGAAACCCAGGCGCCCTCGTCCTATAACGCAGTCCAGCGTCATCGCCGGCAATGCCTAGGTGGTGTTTGCGGGCCAACCCGAACGTGGCTGGCTGCGGCCGAGGGCTACTCTTTGTTTTTGGGCGAGGAAGTGGGTCTTGGGTCGGCTGAGGAGCCACTTGGGGGTTACGTTTAGCCGGTCGGCGAGTCACTCGCGGGTTGCCTGTGCAATTCCGGGGGAAGGTAGAACTCAGAGGGGGTGGGCAAGGGTTGGTGGAAGTGGCTTGACACGGGAGATGGAACATGGCATGCAGGATAAAAGCAAATACGCATTTTAGCTTTTCAAAATGTTTTGGGATTTTGTCGATTTTGCAAAACGTTGGTTGATGAGACGCACGCTTACTACTAGAGACGAAAACTGCGGGTTAATGGAAATAGCAAACGTTTACAAAATCTTAAAAACGGACAGGAAGTGTGACCTGGCAACCGTGTCGGTCGGTTGCCTGGAGTTGAGGCGGGGTAGGTTGAGGGTCACTGGGTTCTGAGAGTTTCGGGATATCTAGTGCTCGGGAAGTCACCGCAGGTGCGGATACTTGTGCGATGGACTCAGGATGGGCTGCAGGTGTCTCGTCAAAGAAAGCCACTTTGAGGCCATCGATGGACGCGGTCGTTCGGTGACCATGCTGGTCTAAAGTAGGATGTTTCGGAGTCCGTTGCAGCACTCTGAAAGGGCTGGTGTAGGGAGGCTGGAGAAGGCGCCGCACTGCGCCCGTACGGTGGAAGATGTGAGTGCAGGTAGAGTCCGCTGTGCATTTGCACATCACTAGCCAGCTGACGGGTGGAATCGGACGTAGTGAACGCTTGCGTTGAGCTAGGAAGGACGCCGAGTTAGGCGGAGGCAGACCCGACGATGTGGGAGGTGAAACGAATTCTCCTGGTAACTTGAGCGTTGTGCAGTAAACCAGCGCTGCTGGGGCACATGCAAGCCAGCTTTGTTGCTGCTGCAACTGCCTAAGAGTAAGAGTGCAAGGTTTTCGCTCCAGCTAGGGTCGGAGGAGGTGCAGAGCGAGGCTTTAAGCTGTCTATGGAATCGTTCAACTAACCCGTTGGCTGCTGTGTGTTAGGCTATTGTATGAATGCGGCGACAACTTAAAAAATTGCAGAAGGTATGGAATCGTGAAGATTCGTAGGACGTTCCTCGGTCAGTTGCAAGGGTGGATGGGCATCCGTAGTGCGAGTCTCACCGGTCCAAGGGGCCCGGATAAGAATCTCAGCTGTACAGTCTTTTACGGGAATGGCTTCTGGCCATCTGGTGAAGCGGTCAACACATGTAAGTATGTATACAGCTCCGCGTGATGGAGGCAATGGACCTACCAGGTCTAAGTGTAGCGAAAACGACACGACAGGGGGGGTAGACGTTTATTGCACACCGAAAATGGGCACATGAGGGTCTCGCGCACGCCATCGAATATCGACTAGATTTCCGTCCCACCACGCAACACAGGTACGGATGTTAGAGGCGAGCCAGTCCTTTCGCCTCGGGAGCTCTGACTTGGAAGATCCGCCTTCCTGTTTTCGCCTCGATCTCCGCTTCTCTGCACCCGATTTGGATCGGCCAGGAGTCGTTCGAGAGCTCTCGACTTGCTTGTTCTGGGCTGTGTCAATCGGCTCGGCCTCGGTCCTGTGGGCTGCGCTAGCGGCGTATTTGTCTGATTTATTGCGCTGTCCACATATTCCCGCTCCGTAGTTCCGGGCCCAGGCTCCTCGCTAGCCGTCCTTCTCGATCCGCTCTCAGCTAACTCCGAAGAGCTCCCCCGAGGCATTCTTGGAAGCGACCCCTCTACATAAGTGTACATGCGAGAGTCCGGGGCGGGAAATAAACCAAGCGGACTGTGGTGTGCCGATGTATTTTGGAGCGGTGGCGTTGCAAACAGGCGCGAGCTCAGGTACGAAAATCTTTGTTTACGCGTGGCCAAAAAAAGGTACGGTGCTCAGTTGCAAAACTGCAAGGATACCGGGATGTGATAGTGAGTGTAGTGCTCGAAGACGGTGCTTCTGAAGCAGACGGGCACAAGTGCTCTAGAACAACCTGTAGAAGTGTCACAGAGAATGCTTCCTTTCGTGGTTTGGAGAGGAAATGGTTGCACACGCCGCGTAATGGACTGCAGCGTGTGCTGTATGTCTTCGTCTTGAGTCTGAGCCGATGCCATGGCGGCAAGGTCGACGGTAGGCAGACTGGAGAGTGAGATTGACGCGTGAGAGAGGGTCGGCGACGGGGTTGTTGACACCTGAGACATGGCGTAAGTCAGCAGTGCACGGCGTAACAAAGCCCAGGTTTCTTGTTTCTTGTGATGAATATTTGTCCCAATAGAGTTGAAGGCAAAGATGAGGGGCTTGTGTTCAGTGAAGACCGTGAAAGCACGGCCGTCGAGTGTGTAACGGAAGTGACGAACGGATAGGTAAATGGCGAGCAGTTGTCTTCCGAACGCGTTGTAGCGGGATTCCGCCGGCTGCAGGCGCTTGGAGAAGAACCCAAAGGGTTGCCATTGCCACCAACGTCTTGTTGGAGGACGGCTCCTACCGCGACGTCTGAGGCATCAGTCGTAATAGAAATGGGTGTAGTCGATTTGGAATGAGCGAGAAGGGCTATGTTGGAGATAGCATCCATGAGCTCGGCGAAGGCTGCCTGTGCTGTGTCAGAGAAAGCGAGCTTACGTTCATTCCCTTTGAGTAGGTCGGTTAGGGGCTGCATGAGCTGGGCGCATCGCGAAATGAAGCGTCGAAAGTAGTTGACCGAGCCGCAAAATCGACGGAGGTGCTTGATCAAAGTCGAAGCTGGGAAGTCCTTGATTGCCTGGACTTTATCAGGGAGGACTTCGATACCAGACGATGAAACGAGGTGGCCTAGGAATCCTACCGCTGATTTGCCGAGTTCGCACTTAGTCGGGTTGACTTTGACACCGTGTTGCGTCAAGCTCTAGAAGAGAGTTCGAAGATGCTCGAGGTGCTCTTGTGCCGATGAACTGGCTATTAAAATATCATCGAGGTAGAAATAAGCGAATTCTAGGCCACGAGTGACATCGTGGATGAACCGTTGGAAGTTTCGTGAGGCGTTGCACAGTAAAACTGGCATTCTTAGCAAATTAAACAGGCCCAAACGAGTGAGCACGGCTGTTTTAGGAATGTCATTTCCTTCTACACGTACCTGATGATAGGCGCGAACCAGCTCGATCTTCCTGTAGATCGGCTTACCTGTGAGGCATGCGGTAAGGTCCTGCTCGTGTGGGATGGGATACCTATTTGAGACGTTTAGCCGATTGAGTGCACGGTAATCACCGCCAGGGCGCCAGTCACCAGATTTCTTGGGGATCATCTGCAGGGGCGAGGACCAAGGGCTGTCGGAAAGGTGGATTATTCCCAGTTCAAGCATGTGCGCAAACTCCGCCTTAGCTTCCTTGAATTTCTCTAGCGATAGTCGGCGTGGACCTCATGACACAGGTGGGCAATTCGTCCTTATGTGGTGCGTGACTTGGGCTGCCACGGGCAAAGCTGCGTTCA